CGGTAAATTATCATTTATTATAATTATTATTGTCGTTTTATTGCTTTATTCTTCTACCTACCTACCTACCTTATATTTCTTTTCACTTTTCTTTCATACATTACCATTTAAGACAATGGGTATTGTGTATTCAATGAACAGGATATTACTAATATTATGAGTAGTAGTAGTAGTAGTAGCCTTGTCAATATTAATCTTCGCAAGTGTCTCTATCTACTATCTATCTATCTATTTAATACATAACCAAACAGACACATATTCTACGCTTATATTTTATTCTTAATATGAACGATATTATAGCATATTTCTTCTTTTTCTTGTTGTTGTTGTTGTTGACAACTTACTTCATTGTTTAATTTTAAGATGAACCAACTTTTCCTCTTCTAGAACTTCTATTCAACCAATATATATATGCATTATATTGTTCAAATTGATCATAATTACAAAATTTAAAAGAAAAAACCCAATTCCTATGATCCACATTTATACATATATATATTTGTTTATTTTGATAATATCTATGCTTGTTTATTTCTGTTTGTATGTGTGTGTGTGTATGTATGTATGAATATTACTCTTTTTCTCGTAACATTCCATTTGGTTTCCCTTTCTCTCTCTCTTACTCCTTTGGTCCTTCATCTTGTTTCTGATTCATTTTAATTTAATGACCAAATGTAATAAGTGAATAATAATAATAATAATAAGATTATTCATTATTCTTGTTCATTTCTTTCAATAATCAATTTCTCATTTGCTTAATTTTACTCCTGTTAATAATCATAATCACGATGGTGATAATAACAATAGTAAGTATAATATAATTTGACAAGTATTAATGATAATCTTTTTCAGTTAGTGTTTATTTACATAATGATTATTAAAATTATTTCCAATTTCCATAGTCCGTTTTTTGTTTTTTGAAAAAAAAATTCTTTTTAAATCTTAGAAATTAAAGAAAAAAAGATAATAAGTAGATTTTGTGAGGTTGATAATCAGAGAATACATCTAATATTGAAATATTACTGGCGTCTGCTACGATCACCGGGTAAGTAATAGTGAGGTTAAATGCAGGGTATTAGGGAATGGTGATGGTAAATCAGTTGATGTGGTTGTGAATCTCCATCGACTGAGATGGTTGGGTCACGTGTTACGTATGCCTGAACACTGATTACCACGACGTGCAATGATAACCGACGTTCGGGATGGTTGGAAGAAAGTTGGAGGCAGCCAAACCAAAATGTGGCATCACTGCTTGAAATCACTAACTTCTAGTCTGAGCCATGTTGGTAGATGCAGACTACTCGGTTGAGATCCGCGTGACTATCGTAACCAATAGTTGGAGACTCTAGGTGAGATGGCTCAGAATCGATCGCAATGGCGTAGGTGTATACACTCTCTGTCTTCCCTTAAACTGTGAGGTTAAAATCACTTCATATCTTTCTTTTTACGAACTAATTCTTTATGCCTGTAGTATATGCTTATATACAATCTTTCTTTTATATATTACCACCTCTGAATTAACTACTCTTATGAATCCGGTGTCCATCTTGTTGTGTTAATGAAGTATGGCAATTTGGAATAATGCATATATGCGCCTGGTCCTACGTTGTAGCTGACTGACATCTAATATTATTTATGATTATATGAACCTTTCAAAATCTGACGTTTTGTATGTGAATTCGTAATCAGTGAACTATGGTATGGACCCCAAATGACTTAGTACGAACAAGAGTGGGGAGAGTCAGCTCACTCTCTCGAAATACACTGTCACATGGCCACATGCATACAATCCTACTCACTGCCTTCACGAGGCGGGGGTGTTGTTTACGAAAATGAGAGGACAAAAAGTGAATGTCTGGCATTTCACCAGTTTGGTGGAAAATACTGATTCCAAACCAATGGTGCACATGGGCTTCAGGATCTTGAAGGAACAAATGGCGTATGAACCAATCGTTGGTCACCAGTTACCATGGGACTGTATCTCCTTACATTGTTCCACTGCCTTGTGGATTAGACCTTTAGGTCAAAGGCTCCGAGTATGGGCCACTAAGGAGATCACCTGCTTCGGTTTGGGTACCCGGGCAGTATACCAGCCCTCGCACAAATCGAATGGTTTATTTGTGGCGCGTATCTATTTGGTGCTTTCTTGTACCAATCTTTATGTGTTTAAACAAATAAATAACTACTGGCGTTCATCGAGGGAGATATTTCAAAAGGTAATTTTGTAGTTCTAATGAGAAACAGATCAGTCGAGTTCACGCATGTTTAAATGTTAGGTAGTTAGTCTCCAAGCATATTGGAATGTAGTTTTCTCGATTTTACGAATTGATTGAAGTTAAACACATAGACTACTGGGTATCGACTCATCAGTTTCAAGTTTATGCGTTCGTACGCGAGACCAATAGTCGTGGGTAGTAGCAACGTCGTCGATGCGTACAGCTGAACAGTCCTAGTGTTTTCTGTTTACTTAACCAAGATCGTTCCGTGATGTTGATCATGATATAAACCCTTATTGATGTACATATGGGTTGACTAGAAACCATATTTAATATTATTGCTCGTCAAAACATTTGAAATCCAATGTTTTGTATGCAGTAACTGATGACAACCGCCATAGGTAGTAGTGCACTAATCATCGAAATGTTTTCCGATTATGTTTTGATAAGAAAACAAATTAGTCTTATATGTGTTATGTCTTTTGCCCCTCTCAGTTACCACGTGACAAAATCGTCAATCAGAATACCGAATTGCATGACCTTGTTCCTGTGCTAAACCAATGTCAAGTCAACCAACACTAGCAGCCTTGCGTCAACTCTGAGTTCTTATCAGTCCTCAAAATAGTAACTTCTCGCCTAGCCGTGCCCGTTCAGTCCGGAACATAGTCTCAGCTTTTATTGTATGAACAATATATTTCAGACATACATAGTTTATATACAAGCAAACCAGATCGCAACACACCATAAAATAAAAAATTATCAATTATACAAGATCAAGCCAAAAGTGGCTGAGTGTGAGCGATTGTAACTTAAGAATGGTAAATTGTATGAGTAGCCAGTAAGTCAAATAAAAGCTTATAATATATAAGTCTATTAATAGTTCCCGGATTTACCCATAAATTAATCTTCGAATAAAACAAAATGTTATACTTTTTGTTATAAATACATATTTAACAGGAAACATAGTGACATTATTTTTCATAGGAGTCTATAACTGGTTTCTAGAACCCAAACTGAGGAGTTGTGATAAACCGACAGAACCCCAGTCTTACACAGCTATCTTTTGTACCGTGGCGCTGTCGTAAACTGACTACCTATCTACTTTTTCCAACTAATCTTAGCGTCGACAAATAATACATGATGTGAAATTCTCTGGGACAAAATTTGTTGTGCATGTCAAATTACCGAGTTAGTGTCTTGAGGTATTGAACCATTGTCACAGAGCCCAAACACGCTGATGGTTTTCAGCACTAACTAAGAAGCGTTGCCACCGGATATGAGAAAGTACGAGCCTGCTTCTAGCGAGTTAGTACTTCACAGATTTTGTATTACCTGCTGAGTAGGACAGTGTTGATTAATGTAGAGGTAATAAGAAATTTATACCTGTGAAAATTCTAAAATTCTCCACAAAACCATTCTGATAATAATAACTGCTCACTAGTGACTGACTTCAGGAAAAACTCGTGAGTTCTAGTGAGAAGCCGTTACCAGTGGAGTTCAACCGGTCTGTTGTGAGATAACAACTCACTGAAGACAATGGTGTACGGTGGCGCAACTTCGTGGATTGGTTGAAGCTAGACATTAACACCGTTGGATGCCGGCTCAGTGGTCTAGTGGTTAAGTGCTCGCGCGCGAAGCCAGTAGGTCCTGGTTCGAGCCCGCGTGGTGCGGGATCGTGGATGCGCACTGCTGAGGAGTCCCATACCAGGACGAAACGGCCGTCCAGTGCTTCCAGGTTTTCATGGTGGTCTATTATTATTGTTGCATAAATCGTCTAGATTGTTTTAACTAAGTTAATGCAGCTCTTACAATCAGTATCGCCTCATTTCAAGTAGAGAGATCCATACTTAGTTGGTGAGTTAGTATTATGGACTTAAAGTCTAACACTGTATGCTGAATGGCAATCATAGAGCTGTTGGTCACATATAATTAGGCTTTATTGTCTCACAACGAAGCAATGCATTGGATTTAAATATTTGTTTGGATGAATCCCCTAGTGTTGTTGCTCAGATTGATAGCAGTCAGTCAATCATACACAACCTAGAACTTGATATATATATGCATCCATTTAAGTTGCCGTACCAGATTTGCACAACAAGATAAAATTATTTTAAGACAATTCACATAGTATTAGGAATAGTAACGATGCCATAATTAGTGGAAAAGACTAGGATTGGCGTGCATTTTATCTGGATGCATTCCAACTACAAATACATACTCAACAACGTTAAGCCAAAAATTCTCATTAAGAGCATGTTTTTTTGTTTCTAATTTCAACAGCATCACGACAAGACATTACTAATAATTGAGAAAGAATGCGATTTCCATTACGGCTGACATTTGATAGACAAAGACTGGAAACGATAAAGTTTTAGATAGCTATCTTATTCGGAATCGCGACTTCACATCAGTATGCATCTAAAGTATGCGGACATATAGTAAATTGACCAAAGTTAGAACATCTATGACTTATAGAATTTTACACAGTAGTTAGGTGTCATGATTCGTGAGATATCTGAACGTCAACGATTTGATCTGATAAGACGTGAGGGTTGGTTGCTAAATGGCTTTAAACTAAGGAGAGTCAGTTCACTATTGCATTTTCGTTTTCAAGGGTTCACGATGAAAATTACTTTTCAAACTAAATGTAAGAAACAATTTTATCACATGGATATTGAGGAAGAAAGCGTGCTATTTTAATGGTGCATATTATAATTTTATTGGCAATATTAAGACAATAGATTATATACAATATAATACATATATACAGACTAATCATTATTATTATGACGGACAGATTATTTTAGTTACATTTTTATCTGTTTGAACTATAACACATTCTTCTACCCAATCATCTGCTGTTTGTGACCAACATGAATCTCGACAAGTAAATATTAATACTGTGACAATATTTAATAACCAACTAACATTTACTCCGTCGTAGTCTTCGTTTAATAATGTTGATAATCTAAGAGAATTATTTATTGTAGAGAAAAGTTGTAGTTCAAATACTCGTTCTGAACCGCATCGATGACATGTTGAATAGTTTGCTAAATCACTTGGAGGAAGGCCATTGAAAATAGGTTGGCCAGACCAACAATAACGAATATCTTCACATCCATACTCTCCTCTGTTGGCAATGTAAGATAATAATTCATCGCTAAAAGCTTCAGGGCCAGTATTATCGTCTTCTTCAACAAACTCTTTATCAATTAGGACTTTTTCTGACCATTTTGATAGGAAGTGTTTAATTGATAGTGAATTGGATTTGACTTCAATATCGTCATCATCATGGTTGGTTATGTCTATTTCAGGTTCTGCAGTATGACTACTACTAGTGGTAGTAATAGTAGTATCTTCGTAGATATCAATTGAATAACATTGAAAGCGACCAATAAGAGATGATTGTTCATTAAAATTTTCAACTTTAAAACGAATCTAAAGTGGAGATATTGAAAATAACTAATGTTTGTTTATGGGAGTTATGATACTCCTAATTTACTCTAACTCGTTAGTACAATTCTCTCGAAATAATTAATCAGATATTACATACCGACAAGTTTCATTCACTTGAATTAAAATGTAACTGCTTTGAACTACGGTTCATAAATAAACAGGTTTGCTAAACTCACAAATAACAAAATCTGGTTCATTAATCTTAGTGATAAAGACAAATACCATTGAATAAGAAACTCATTTTTTACCTGAACAACAAATTCATATTTTATTTAACACAGTTCGCTAGTTCCAACCTAGATATGTTGAAGATAGGAGTGATTAGAAGAAAAGTTGCCAAACCACATTAACTTATTCCCATAAGTGGATCACCTCCCGAAAACATTTAGTTAGGAACCTCATTAAGTCTAACAAATATTTTAGTACTAATAAGATATGGCTAGACCAAAGATAATTGTTTTTACTTATAATTAACATTAGGACGAAGTAATATTAAACTAGATATATAACAAAAATCACCACCCCAGTCTCCAACATTCAAGGATCTAGGCACCATCATTTTTATGAAGTGGTGACATTCAAGTCGAATACAAAAGATATCAATGTTCAACGTACTTCCGAACTTTTATCAGCATCTTGACCCCAACTTTCTCCATCAGAACTATCATTTTCATATTCAGCACACCAATTTGTGCATGATTTCGATTGAGAATTCTGATCGAATTCTATAAAGTATTGTGAACGCAAGACCTTCCAGTTGTTTCCACTGGATTGACAAAGACCATTTATGCATACAAAAATATAAAGTGTTCTGTGATATTTTGAATCGCCAATTGGACAATATAACTGCATAATAAAGTCCATAGTTTTACGGCAAACCATACATTGTATTTTGTCTACAGGTGGTGGTTTCACATTTGGAAAGGTGATGAGATTTCCTCCAAAAAAGCTTTCGGAATAGTTTAAAATATGTCCAGGGGTTTGAGAGTTAATATAACCCACCAGTGCCATCTAAATATTCAAAGTAGTTTCAGTAGAAACAAATAGTACAATCTGAAAAAAGACAAGAATGAAATGTGTACTGTGATTAGGGCATTCTGGTGATGACCACATTGCAACACAAAGAAACAAAAAATCGTTTCGGATAGATGACCCGAGAAACATATAGAAGAACAATTTAAAATAGACATTATGACTTGGAATGCTAAAAGCATCACTAGTTTGAGGGGGAATGTTTCAAGTTTCTAACTAATTAAATCGATGATCTCACAGACTAGACGCGTATAATAATAACGACCTAGTCTTATAAGCTGGACCTTATATTTTATATTCTATTTCATTGTATTTTATTCCTACCGATCCGTAGCTGAGTCAAAGTGAATCTGAGTTATTTGTCCGGTCCGTTTCCTATCGTCCAGACAGTCATGTTATTCATTGCCAAGCAGTTATCATATAATATCATTGGATAGGAATCCACTTATAATTGATTTCTTTATGACACTGAATTTTATTTAGAAGTGGAACCTGACGACTTTCCCTTTATATATCAGTCAGCTACGATATAGAACCAGGCACATATATGCATCACTATAGGTCACCATACCTCATTAACACAAGATAAGCACCGAATTCATGGAAGTAGTTACTTCAGTGGTTGTAATATATAAAAGAAAGCCCGTGCATAAGGATGTAATGCAGGAAGAAAGAATTAGTTCGTAAAAGGAAAGGCATAAAGCAACTTTACTGTCAAGTTTTAAGGGAAGAAAAAGTGTATTTTCTCACATGTATTTACGTATTACATTACAAGTGGTTGGAATAAACACCCTGATATACAGCTTCGTATCCCATAATGAGCTTGTTGCATTTTGGGTTCAGTTTCGATAATCGGTTTGGATTAGTTAAAAAAAGGTTACGGGTAAAAAATACCCAGAAAAACGAAAATGAGGAAGTAGAGAACAGTAGAAACGTCTTCCTAGGGAGAAGATATCTTGAAATTTACTCCAAGTAGCCCGATTTTCGACTAAATTTGCTGGTTAATTTTCTTCAGGTTTGTGTAGACGATGATCATACTTACAACCTACAGCAGGGACATGTTATTAACAATGATTTTTGTCAGAAAGACTGACACACGTGTTTTTAAATGAACATACTGAAAATTAACAGAAGAAATGCAAATAATATCAAAAACTATTCACAAAGTAAGTTTGTCATGGACATAACATTGTTAATATTCAATCTGTACCCAAGCTGCCAATTTTGGGGAAAATTTGGCCCATTTTGGAGAAGCCGCTATAGCAAATTTTTGAGAAATGAGACCCAAAACCCAAAATTTTCCCAGACCTGGGGATTTCCCCAAAGTTGAGAGCTTGCAATGTACCTATGGGTACATTTACAAGACACGTATCACCTAATGTGTACGGTCATACTTCCAGATCAAGCCCAGTGGAAAAGAGATGGTTACCATGTCGAGGAAAAAGCTACAAAGTTATTATTTTCTGTGTACTAATTACATACATACAACGGAGCCTTATGGCATTTGCACGCTGAACCGTAACGTACGTTTTGATAACCGCGGAATGTTCAAATGGTTTAAATGGTTGTGGACGGAATAGAAGAAACTTTCGCTTAACAGGCTTCCGTGTCTAGAAGCAGGGGATCACCAAATCCTCCAGGCAGGAACCTAGGTATGTTAACAATAAAAGAGGAAAAGAAATTTGTAAATCATGGTGTGATACTATCCTTAGTCCTTAAGAATAGATCAAGTTGCCTCTTAAAGGACTCCTGGAAGTTGCTTGGACTAGCTCGCTCGGCAGCGAATTCCAGCATTTGAAAACTCTTAAGGAGTAGAAGTTGAGTCTACAGTCTACTCTGCTATGTTGTGTATCCAGTTTCTAAGTGTTACCTCTTAGGTTAGTGTTGGAACTAAGCTTAAGTAGGTGTTTGAGAGGATGTCCAGAAGTGTTAAGGTTACTATAAGCCATCAGAAGATCACCTCTAAGACGCCTATACTCTAATGGGTAAAGGTTAAGTGAATGAAGGCGCTCTTCGTAAGGTTTAAATTTGAGTCCTCGAACTGATTTCGCGGCTCGCCTTTGGATACGCTCCAGGGTGTCCTTATCGTTTTGGAATGAGGGGGGAAATACTATGTTTCCGTACTCTAGATGGAGACAAATGAAAATATTGAAGATTGTGAGGAAAGTTCTTCCGTCAAACTGGCCAAAAATGCGCTTCAGTGTTACCAGTGCAAGGTTTGCTCGGAAGGCATTTTTGTCGCAGTTAGCGTAAGACTTTAAATCGTAGAGTACCAGGACTCCTAAATCTTTTTCGACTTGGGATACTACTAGAGAGGAGTTACCTAAGTTATAACTGTAGTCTGCGACATGTCGCAGATGGACTACTTTACACTTTGAAGTGTTAAAGGTAAGTCCGTTATCGTCTGCCCAACTTTGAAGTCGAGTCAGATCCTCCTGAAGTGCCTGTATATCGTCTTGGTTGCGTATCTCTCTCCAAAGTTTCACGTCGTCGGCAAAAAGTAATAAGTCTGACGTTACCTGTTGAGGAAGATCATTTATGTAGATCAAGAAGAGAAGAGGCCCTAGTACTGAGCCCTGGGGGACCCCACTAGGACATTCCATAGCCTGAGATAAAGTGAAATTAACCCTGACCTTAAAATGTCGATTTTTCAGGTATGAAGTGAGCCAATCGATTAGAGGTGGTCTGATACCCAATCGTTTGAGCCTATTGATAAGACATGTATGGTTAACCTTATCAAAAGCTTTTGAGAAATCTAGGTAGATGATATCAACCTTCCCTTGTAATCGAGGATGCTTGTCCATTTGTCCACCGCAGTCAGCAGGTCAATACAAGAGTAACCCTTCCTGAAACCATGCTGTTGGGGTGAGAAGAAATTTAAGGACAGTAAATAGTCATTTATACCATCGCATATCAAGGACTCCATGATTTTTGAGGGTATGGAGAGGAGAGCCACCGGTCGGTAACTTGAAGGTTCGCTGCGTCGACCTCCTTTAAAAATTGGTGTGATGTGAGCCAGTTTCCAATTTTCCGGTAGTTTTCCTCGACTTAGCGAGTGTGAGAACATCACGCTAAGCGGCGTTGCCAAGATTGAGGCTGCTTCCCTCAGTATGGCGGAATGGACCATGTCCGGGCCAGGAGAAGTGTCTAATCTTAAGTGCTGCAGATTCCGGAACACCAAGTCAGCGCTTAGGTTCACTTCGGAAAGTTCTGTGGAATTGCAGATGAAACTGTCGTCAGTAAAGTTAATCTCGGTCGGTTGAAATGTCTGGGAGTAATATTCTTTATTATTGTAGGTGGCTTGCAGCCTTTGCGAACCGTTTGAGGAACTGAATGGTTTGTAGCACGTAAAAGCGTGTGCAGTAAGAAGTCCCAATGACCGTCCACGTCGAGTTGGGGGTGAACATCCCAAACCACCTGTTGTAGATAGTCGTGTAGAGCTGGCACATTCAACCGTTTAAAATTCCAACGCAAGTTATTGGTGGGGTATCTTAGCTTAGTTTTGCTGACAAAACTGAAGGCTATGACGGCATGATCGCTTTTTCCCAGGGGAGCCAGGATTGAGAGGTTGTCAACTAGAAATTCTTCGTTTGTGAATACACAGTCTAAGCGCGATGGTGTCTGACTGTTTCTCCAACGAGTTGCCGACCTCACATTTTCGAACAATCCCAAGTCATCGATGAGGTTGAAGAACCGAGCTTCAATTGAGTTGTCGCCTCCAGTATACGTGTGTTCCGCGAAGTTGACTCTAGGGATCAGGATGTGTGTGAAACCGAGACGAGTAGAGCGGGATAGTCCTTCCAGCATACGACTATCGTACTCGATGTCGGCAGTTGGCTTCCTGTAAATGACTCCGACTAGACACCTCGAAGTACTGACAATCTTACAGAGCACCATATAGATTCCTCAAGATTGTTAAACTCGAGGTTATGAACTTGATGCACCTCCAAGCAAGAACGTATGTAAACAGCTACTCCGCCCCCAAATCCTGATTTTCTGTCATTGCGGAACAAAGACATCCCAGGTAATGCTAACTCATGGTCCGAGAACTGAGAAGATATCCAGGTTTCAGATATTCCTATCAGATGGGCCTTATTAGCATTGCTAAGTTCACGTAGTTCATCCAATTTGTTTGGTAGACTCGCGGCGTTCATATATAAGCAGTTTATGCTTTCAATTTGAAACGCGTGAGCTTCTTCCTGTTTGTCTGTATGAGCCTTACGTGAATGGACAGGTAGCCCACCTATATGAGGTTTGCCGAGGTGGTAGGCCCTGTCCTTTACACGTTTTTTTATCGTCTAGACAGTTCACAAGTGGAATGATCAGCTCCAACTTGCCTTTGTGTTTGGTCCTAGCTTCGTATGGCCTATCCGGGTGCATGTGGATTCCAGGTGGCAGTCGACGTCTGTTGGCACGAAATGCTTCCAGAGTTGCAGCCGCCATATGGGAAGATGGGAAGGTTATCTTCATTAGACAGGGTCTAGAATCACCATCCTTCTTGGCTAGTCTCGTCACATGCTGAGTCAGTATGTTTTTGAGCCTCAAGGACTGTTTGATGAATTTCCATTCCCTGATGTCAGTCTTTGATTGAGTAGGGTCAGTTTTTTCCGGTATACCTTGCACGATTATATTCCTCCCGCGGAAAAACTGATCGCGAGTTTCTTTGGGGATGTTCCGGATGAGATTGCGCTCAGAATACGGTATGTCAGGCAGTATTCTTACATTCCCATCTGATTTCAGTAAATGACTCGCTAGCAAGACATCCTCTACGTCGGTAGCATTCTTACGTGTTACACGGAGTAGCCTCGGGTGATTTTGATGCTTAGATTCCTTTCCCCGGGTGAGCCGTGTGACTGTCAAAGGCTCTATTCTTGAAAGTCCAAGTTTTTGCTCAACTCTCCCCAGAGCATCCTATCATTTTTGTCCTGCAAACTGAGAGGAAGGTCAGGGTTGTCTTTGAAGTTCATGACTATGAGAGA